TGGGAGGTCCAGGTTGAATCCTTGGCTCTACATGATTTCCTGTACACCATCAAGAGTACCCCGCTGGCACCTAATCAGGCTGGAAGAAACCCCCAAGCACCAGGTGTGGTCTGTCACTATCACTGTCACTGTCACTGTCCTCCCGTTGTTCATGGATTTGCTCGAGTGGGCCCAGTAACGTCTCCATTGTGAGACTTGTTGTTACTGTGTTTGGCATATTGAATACGTCACGGGTAGCTTGCCAGGCTCTGCCGTGCGGACGAGATACTCTCTGTGGTCAAAACAAACAAAACTTGTAGGCTAACACTATGTAGTTTATTTTTAATATTTCAATTTAGGAGCCAGAAAGATAGTACAGCAGGTAAAGCACTTGCCTTGCACACAGCCTACCTGGGTTTAATCCCCAGCATCCCATATGGTCCCCTGAGAACCACCAGGAGTAATTCCTGAGTGCAGAGCCAGGAGTAATCCCTGAGCTTGAGATGCTCAGGGGTTTATGTGGCCCAAAAACCTAAGACCTAAAAAAAAAAAATCAATTTAGCTAATGTGATTCATTCAAAAAATAATAACTTGGGATGTTATAGTCCTCATTTATAGAAGAAGAAACAGAGACCCAGAAAAGTCATGACTTCTTTCATGGCTAAAATGCCTGCCATAGAGGCAGGCAGGGCTTGGGGGGTGATGGGAGGGAAACTGGGTACGCTGGTGTTAGGAAATGGCGTATTTCATGGCATCAGACTATCTGGTGGAGGGATGGGTGTTGGAGTACTGTATGACTGAAACCTAATCATGAACAGCTTTGTAAGGGTCTATCTCACAATGATTCAATTAAAAAGTTAAAAACAAATAAAAATAAATTAAAATGTGTAGAGCCACGTCTGAACCCAAGGTCTTGGATATCGAGTGCAGAACAGTTCCCACTGTACCCGAAGAACTCTGACACAAGGGGGACCCAATCCCACCTCCAAACAGCAAGGATGTTTTCAGGCATTAGGATGTCATCCAGATTTAAAACAAAAATCTCACTGAAAACAGTTACTACAAAACCAGGGATGCTGAAATCATAGACTTTTTTTTTTTTTTTGGCTTTTTGGGTCACACCTGGCGATGCACAGGGGTTACTCCTGGCTCTGCACTCAGGAATTAATCCTGGCGGTGCTCAGGGGACCATATGGGATACTGGGAATCAAACCCTGGTTGACCCATGCAAGGCAAACACCCTACCCGTTGTGCTATTGCTCCAGCCCCTGAAATCATAGACTTTATCAGAATTAGTCCAAGATCTTTAACTTTATAAATTAAGAAGTGGTATCAATAAATTAACTGAAAGCTATAGTCTTCTCATTGCATGATTTATTTGGACACCTGATTGAGTGACTTTCTGTTAACTCTAAAAGTTTTTCAAAATATGAGTAGGCCATTCTCTGGGACCTGTAGTCAGGTCATTTCTGAAAATTCAGTCTGATATAAATTACCTATAACTCAAAAATGTTAAGTTCAAGGACCCCAACAAACTCCTAAACCAAAGGAATATAGACCAGGAGGGGAATCAGAAATAAATAAACACAACATATTAAACAGACAATTTGTCAGTAGACAGAGCTGGCTGTATGAAGCGGCCCCTGAGATAGATCCCTCACTTTAATATCTACTATGGTTGTAGTCATTCAATAACTTGAACTTCTTGGCACTCCGTGACCAGAGTACAAAGAAAACTGAGTATTGGAAGGAGAGGGTTATAAATTTGCCAGCTGACTAGACCAAGTAAGCGGGTCAAGGCCAGGACTGACTTTTCTTCCCTGCAAGGAGCAAGGCTCACAGTCCTAGATTTCCCCAGACATTCCCAGGCCGTGGAGGTGCATAGAGAGAAAAAGGCGGAACCCCTTCTCAAGTCTACTGCCTCTCTCCTCTTCACATAGGTCATTTGGCAGCCCCACTGACATCAGTAGCCGCGATTCCCATTCTTCTAGGATACTCCCCTACCTAGGGTGCGTGGGGTGTTATCCGCACACCGAAGGATCACACACCCCGAAATCACACCAAGTTCTCAGAAGAAGTAGGGCTTCCAAACAAGGAAGAGTCTTTCACTGGAGTGTGTTTATACACAGTTTAAACCTGGGGGGTTTGACTGAATATATTAAAAAGAAACTAGGGCAAAGTTTAAAGTCCTTTTTAAATGCTCACCACCAAAGGATTTGGTGAAGTGACCTTTTAAGAGTAGGAAAAAAGCTAGGCAAACATAAAAATACAAGGGTTTGTTTGTTTGTTTGTTTTTAATTCCTTCTCAAATTAGCATTTCGTATTTGGTGGTTTCTAATGACTTATTATGAAGGACAGGACACCCAACAATAGGAAAAGATAGATTACACAATTTACCTCGGATTATAGTTTCTACTTCTGCTGCAAGGTCTAAACCAAATGTCACTTTAATGAATCCTCTCGCCCATCAGAATCAATTTCTTCCACAGTCATTTATGAGTGCCAAAGTCCTGTAGAGACAACAGTAGACCAGACCCAGTTCCTGCCTCGAGCTCAGGAATAATTACAAAATATTACTTGACATATGCTGCAAGAGAGGTATCCATCATCTAAATTTTCCTGTGGCTACTGAAAAGACTACAATAGGAGGCAATGCTTGAAAGGCCTGTAGGCGTCCACCAAACGGAAGACAGAACACTGGCCAGCAAGAAGCTTTGCACAGTAACATATCAGCTTTTAGAAAGACAACTATGGGAAAACGCTGGAGGTAGATAAGTTAGAAGAGCGACAACAATACAACCGGAAGATGATATTCTTGCAGGTTGGGGGTGGGAGGCGGAAGGATTTTTAACAAAACCCAGGAGATAAATTTAGCAGAATTTGATGCTTCATTGTATGGCGGAAAGAAGGAACATGGAGGAGTTGGCGATGACTCCCTTCAAAGGCTTGGCGAATGAGTGGGCAGTGAGGTCATTAGCTAAAATAGGAAATAGCGCTGGAAGATAAGGCCTGAGAAAGAGGGTTTTAATTCCCCTGGAGGCATTTTGAGTAGGCAGGAAGAGGCCGTCAATGGTTTTCCTTTCAAAGGCAGAAATCACCCCCTTCCCCTGAGCTCCGGAGCGTATTGAATGCGTTTTGTTTGGTTTGGGGTATTTTTTTTTCCCCACATGCAATTATTTAAATCTGCTGTGTTTACAGGTTTGTTAGTACCTTAAACCCCGGGGAGGGCGGGGAGCGAAAGAACTCGATCTTTCTCGTTTGTGTATTGTTCTTATCTCGGTGCCTTGTGCGACAAAAAAGCCTTCTGCTAAAGTCGCATTCTTGAACGGGCGGCTCCATCAGATACTAGAAACTGTCAGTTAACTTAGCTCAAAACAATGACCAAGACGTGCTGAAGGCTTACCCATAAAATATTTAAAGTATGGCACCTCATTTTCGCTTTCTTTGTGTTTATCTTACTTTTCAACAGCCTTGCTCGCTAGAGATATTTCTAGTTTACAGATAAAGCAACAGAAGTCCGGGGCGTCTGAATAACTTTCCCGAGGTCGCGGGTTTGCTTTAGGATAAGAATGAACTGGGAGGGGGCGCGGGGGGAGGGCTGTCGGGGGGAGCGGGCTGGAGCTATAGTACAGTGAGCGGGAAGGGCGTTTGCCTTGCACGCGCACCCTCTGGGGTTCTGTCCCCAGCATCCCATATGGTCCCCGAGCACCGCCAGGACTAATTCCTGAGTGCAGAGTCAGGAGGAATCCCTATGCATCGCCGGGTGTGACCCAAAAAGCCAAAAATAAATTTTAAAAAAAGAAAAAAAAAAAAGAATGGACTGGGGACCGTTTGTTTCTTGGCAATGCCTTCCCGTCCTGATCTCTGCAGAGCTGAAAAGTGGCGGAGGTTGTGGCGGCGGGGGCGAGGTTGCACCTCGCAGACCCGCGTAGCACCACGCCGGGTGCAGCTGCAGGACTGGGGGCTTGCAGTTGTAGGAGAGGCCCCTCGCGACCATCTCGGGTCCAGCCTAAAGAGCCTCTCTCCCAGGGAACTGCACTTAAGAGACACCCACCGCACGCGGGAAGGCTGAGAGGAAACCCCGGGAGCGGAGGGACCCAGCAATTTGCAGCATTAGTTTCAGGTCCACAACACGGGCAGGGGCTTTCGTTCAAGCTTCCTCGTCGGCGCTGTTCGGACAACTGACCCCGAAATTTGCAATGGGGGCGTGAGGTCATGACTCTAAGCTGGCTCCCGGGCGGTGACCAAGGGTCGGAAACAAGGGGCTGGGCGCAGGAAGTCGCTGGTGCACCACCTGCTCTTAGGACCCTGACACTGAGCCCATGTCTGCCTCCTCTTTTTCACTCTTTTGGCTCCAGACAGCTGGGGAAGTGTATTACGGTCACCAGGGCCCATGCAAACCTTGAACTCCCCAGGGCCAGGCTGGGCGCGACCCCCACGGATTGGCGAGCATCGGGAAGCGGGTTATTGACGGGAGGGTTATTGCATTCCGCTTCGGGCCTCAAACCACCGACCAGTGCCGGAGGAAGCCCTCGGGTGTTGCTCTCGCCCCGTCGGGGGCAGAGGAGAGGAGGGGCTCGAATAAAGAAGCGCAAACATGGGGCTGGAGCAATAGCACAGCGGGTAGGGCGTTTGCCTTGAAAGCAGCTGACCTAGGTTCGATTCTCAGCATCCCATATGGTCCCCTGAGCACCGCCAGGAGTAGTTCCGGAGTGCATGAGCCAGGAGTAACACATCGCCGGGTGTGACCCAAAAAGCTAAAAAAAAAAAAAAAAAAAAGAAGCGCAAACATCCCCGGGAGTCGCACGCGGGGCTCCCGGGGCCAGAGCCCGGGGGTTGGGAGGGAGCGCGCTCCGGTGCGTGCGGGGGGTGGGGGGCAGGGGGAGTGAGAGGTCGGGACTGGCCCACAGCGAAGTCCAGGGCCCTCCGGGCGCGAGGAGGAGGCGGGTCGCGCTCCCCGGGGGAGCAGAAAAAGGGCGCGTGCGCAGAACCCGCCACCGCCCCCCTCCTGCTGCTACCCCAGCGGTGGTGCAAAGGGCAGGTATTTGGGGTCTGGACGAGGGCGCGCTTGCGAACTCTCGCCATGGCCGGGTCAGAATGGGAGTCGCTGGAGCAGTGCTTGGAAAAGCACCTGCCGGCCTCAGACTTGCAGGAGGTGAAGCGCATTCTCTATGGCAAGGAGACCAGGTCTGGGACCCTGCGGCTGGGGAGGCGGGGAGAAGGTGGGAAGGGGGAGAAGCCCTATAGGGACCCCATGAGTACGGGACTGGGGGACCAGGGGAAGGGCTTCTGGATTTGAATAACTTTGGAGGGAGCGGTGATGCAGTCTTCAGTTGGAGAACTAGAAAGTATAGGAAATGTAGGTGGTCTGGCCCTAAGGTCACCAGGGCTTGCATGGGCCCTGGAGACCTTAACACACTTCCCCAGTTGTCTGGAGCCAGAAGAGCAAGAACCCTTCTGGAAAGGTCGAAGCTTTCTCTGTGCCCAACCAACTCCTTACCTCTTGCCTGTACCCCAGGTGCATGTCTGCCAGAGCCCAGGTCAGAGGAAAGGGGAGTGGGGGTTGTCAACTGATTGTCCAGACCCAACCCTCCTTCCTGCAGACATTCAGGCTCTGGGAGCCCCTTGGGGAGAGAAGCTGCAAAATCTGGCTGACCAAGGAGCTTTCCCTACTGTGAAGTTACCCAGGAGTTGGTTACTTCTCTAACTCTTGCCCACCCCAACTAGTGCTGTGACATACCCAGAGTTTCTGAGCACAGTGCATGGTTCAACCCCGGGTGAGCAGAGGTGGAGGACAACACTTCCACTCTGATGCTTCATCTTTCTTGAGATGTTTCCCCAGTGTAAAACATCATGTTGCTCCTTTGCTTAAAACTCTTGAAGGACGGCAGCTGGAGTGATAGTACAGCAGCTAGAGCTGCTAGAGTCTTGCACCTGACCTGGGTTTGATCCCTACTACCCCATATGATCCCTAAGCCCCGCCAGGAGTGATCCCTGAATACAGTTAGGAGAAAGCCATGAGTACCTTTGGGTGTGACTAAAACAAAAGCTCAGAGACCCCTCCAGCTTGAGAATTGAAAGTAGCTCCTGGCTAAATGTCTTTTCACAAACTGATTTATTTATGGGCTCTTCGTGGCAATGACCTGGCTTGGTGGCAATGACCTTGAGGCAGGAGCTTGATCAACTCCCATGGAGTTCAGTGGTTTTGATTGGATGAGCCAACTACTGCTCTGGAGTTTCTGCCCAGAGGTCAGACCTCAGATCCCAGATTGTCTGTGCTACTAGTGCATGGTGAAGGCAGAACAGATGTCTCTGGGCATGAGAGTGGCTTAAAGCTTTGTTCAGGAGAGTTCTCTTGAGGGGCCGAGGGGCTGGAGAGGTAGCTCAGTGGTCAGGGACATAGACCTTGCATGCACGGGAATCAGAGTCCAAACCCTGACGTCCCATGGCCTTCCAAACACTGCCAGGCTGAGCAGCAGAGTTGATCTATTCAGCCTGGTTGGCCAAGTATTGCTGGCAGTAGTCCTTGAGTTCCTCCCAAATATTGCTGAAAAACGGACTCCCCCAGGAAAAAAAGAGCTCTCCATACCCCAAAGAGGCATATCCAAAGTGAGTGATGTCCAGGCCCCAGTGATGTGCGTGCTTACTGGGCTACTACTTCCCACTGTACCTGACAAGGCTAATCCTTGGTTGGGGGTGGAGGGGCAGGAATCATCTTCAAGTAAAGACTCCCAAAAGGGGCCTTTAAGCAAAAGATATTTCAGGCTACAATTTCTAGGGATGGAAATAGGTTGTGTTTGGTTTGGGGGGGTTGGTTTTTTTTTCCGGGTGCAGTCGGCATATTCTCTGTGAAAGAGAACTCATGGGGTTAAAGGAGAGGTAAAACACCTGGGGGTAGGGGCTGGAGAGATAGCACAGCGGGTAGGGCGTTTGCCTTGCACGTGGCCGACCCGGGTTCGATTCCCAGCATCCCATATAGTCCCCTGAGTACCTCCAGGAGTAACTCCTGAGTGCAGAGCCAGGAGTAACCCCTGTGCATCGCCAGGTGTGACCCAAAAAGCAAAAAACAAAAACAAACCACCTGGGGGTAAAACACAAGACACTTAGGAAAGGAGAAAAAAGGTTTTCCAATTATCCAATTGGCTAGTGCACATTCAAGAGATTTGGGTAAGGATACCGTGCAAAGGGACTGTTAAGCATTTGGATTGCTTCTGGTGGAAAGGGATTATAATGGGAGTGAAATGGGCGCCCACATCCATGAGCCAGTGACTGATGAGGCCCTTGTATTGACTCCCGGTGACTGAGTCCCTCTCTTTGTCCTCCTTTTCCTCGTCCTTTTTCTTAGGGATGTGTGTGTGGTGCTGGGGATTAACTCAGGACCTCACACAAAAATAACACGTTCTTTTACCTCTCAGCTAGATCCCCCATCCCTCCTTTGTCTTTGTCTTAGTTCTCCCTCAATCCGCACTGAGCCCTTCCATGTTTTACCTACAAGGTAAAAACCTCTATATCTCCTTGTTACTCGTGATTGGGTGGGACTTGGCTGTGATGAGGATTGCAAGCAGAAGATGGGAAATCATTAACCTTCTGAAAACCTTTAAACTCCTGCTCCCTCCCCAGCCTCACTTGCACAGCTGAGAGGAGACCCTGAGTCCTCTGACCCTCCTGAGATACCCACTGCACACGACTACCTCTCCCAAGGACTCAATAGGAAGTGCTCAGTAAATATTTAACTGAAAGATCTACAGCCCTTGCCTATGGCAGACAAATGGAAGCCCCTTAAGAACAGTGCTTACATTGTGAGCAAACCATTACTCACTTCACAAACATCCATGGCTTGTTTTTGTCCCCGGTACCTGGAGTAGACAGCTTGAGTAAGCCCCATTTCTTGCCCTTGAGGAGCTTTCTGCCTTTTGGTGGCTATCCTGTGTTGTAACTGATAAATGCAGGGAGAACTAAACAGGGAGAGTTTACAGGCTGGGGTGGAGACAGGTCGGGAAGCTTCTCAGGGGCAAAGAACTGGAGCTGAAGTGGAAGGAAAGTTAGAGACAGGAAGGGCTCCAGCACCGCAGGCAAGGCCCAGACACCAGGGCATGTGGCCATTGGGAGGCCATGGGGGATGGAAACTGTGAGAGGAGGCAGAAGCGGCCTGCGTGGACCCCAGATGCTCTGTCCACCAGGCTGTGGCGGTGGGTCTCTAACCTCGTGGCAGCAGGAAGTTTGGAATCATTTGAAAAGGGCAAGTGAAACGCCAGCAGGCAGGTAATAGACAAGGCAGAGATTGTGCAGGTTTCTGGCTTGCCCCTGGATGGGCTGGTATACTCTTCTGCTGGGCACCAGCTCTGGACGGGCCCGAGGAGTTGAGGGCTGGAGGTCTTGGTTGACTAAGGCACTGTAATATATCACTGCAACCTGGAGGATGTCAGCCAAAGGGAGTGCATGTTCACACTTCTGAGAGCAGGTGTACAAAATCGAAGTGTCCCCGGGACCACTGCCCCCCTCCAAAGACTCTGGGAGAAGAATCCTTCCCTGACTCTGTTCCTCGTGGCTCCTGGCATCCCGGGGCTTGTGCCTGCGTGGCCCCAGTGCCCACCTCAATCTCCAGCTGCTTTCTCCTCTCTGTGTCTCTCCTCTGGGCACCTCTTCAAAGAACTGGTGTCAGTAGGTTGAGGGCTCACTGGGACCATTCAGAAGAGCCTGTTTCTGAGATCAATATGTACCTCTATAAAGATCCTGTTTTGGAAGTGAGGTCCCACTCTAAGGTTCCAGATACTAGAATATGAATGGAGCTGGAGGAGGGCACTGTGGCCCACTGCAGGGCCCTGTAGGAGGGGATCTTGGCTGGGCTCAGCCTGGAGATGTCCTGGAGATGATGAAGGGATGCAGGGAGGAAGAGCCTGGCTTTATTCTGGAGAACCTGGGTGGTAAGGATCAGAGAGAGCCGAGACTGTGTAAGACTCCAGAGGTGAGGCTGCAGGCAGAGGAGAAAAAGAGCAAAGGTGGCAGGATGGGGGTGGGGTGAGACAGGGACACAGTGTCAGAGGCACTGGGATGCCAGGGGGAGGAGCAGACACAGAGTCCTGGGACATCAGCATCCAGAAGGCAGATGTGGCATGTGGACCGGGAACAGGGGTCTGGGGAGCACGTGGCAGATGAGGCTGCCAGGGAAGGGGAGAGGAGAGAAAGCAAGTGGGAGAATCCCAGGTGACTGTGTTGCTTGCGTCTCACCTTACCTGGGGCTCAGGGGGACGGTCAGGGACGGAATCCTGGGCCCTAGACACAGGCACGTGCTTCTCCGTTGAGCTGCAGCCCCGGCCCCTTTGGCATTTTCTTCTTTCTGTTTTATTCCATGGGAAAGACACCAGCAGTTTCGGGGGTGGGTAGGAAAGTCTGTAGAAGATGGAGACTCTGCAGCCGTACCACCCCGAATGCACCTGATCTTGTGTGATCTCGGAAGCTAAGAGAGTCGGGCCTGGTTAGTACTGGGATGGGAGGCGGGGAGATAGTCATGGCAGGTATATCGTTTGGTGAAAAGGCAAGTGGAGGATGGGATCCACAGTAGAATGCCACTGTACATCACACACACACACACACACACACACACACACACACACACACACACACACACCACAAATAGAAAACCACTGGAAAGATGCCTAAAATATTGTCAAGAATTTCCAGTTCGAGGTCAGGGCTTGGATGGAGAGGGGAACTCATTTTTCATCTGATCTCCTTTTCCACTGTTTGATTTTTCTTCTCCCCCCCCCCCCCATACATCTGTGTAACAAAGCTCAGGTTTAATTATTTAAAATGCTGATGGTAAGGAGCCATTAAGAAGGGAAAGATGAAGCTGAAGAGGCAGGAAGATGCCGCTGAGGCAAGGTCTGCCTTGACCCCAGGTAGGAGAGGCGGGGCCCTTGGGGGCCAGGCCAGGCCAGTTTGGGAAGTGATTGGCTTCCTGCCCAATGCTGGATGTGAGTCATGAGAGGGGAGGGCCAGGGACCAGGGAGGGCCAGGGACTAGGGAGGGCCAGAAAGGTTGGAAGCCCAGGAAGGGGACCAAGGGAGGGTGGCTGTCAGCAGATGTCGCCCCCTCCCCCCCCCCCCCCCCCCGCGCCCCTTGGTGAGATAGAGATCCATCCGCTGGCACTCTCCAAGTGCCCCGCCTGGGCTTTGCCACTGTGCCCCACACATCACTCTTGGTGGGCACAGCACTTGTTCATGGGATGGCACCCGAGGGTGGGCACATGGGTTCAGTAAGAAATGGGTCCAGAAGTAGTGATGGGGGCAGAGAGCTAGTATAAGGCTTAAGGTGTTTGCCTTGAATAGAGCTTACCCAGTTTGATCCCCAACACCATCTGGTCTCTCCCAAGCGTGGCCAGAGGTCACTCCCGAGCACAGAATCAGAAATTGCCTTTGAACAGTGTCGGGTGTAACCCAGAAGACTCCCAGAATTAAAATATAAAAAGAAGCAGTCAGGACCAGAGTGATAGTACAGTGGGTAGGGTTCTCCCCTTGCACGCAGCCTACCCTGCATCCCGTATGGTCCTCCAAGCACCTCCAAGAGCAGTGCCTGAGCTCTGCAGGTGTGGCCCCAAACAAACAAACAAAAAGAAAACTAAATAAATTTTTAAAAATAAGGCTGGAGTGATAGCACAGCGGGTAGGGCGTTTGCCTTGCACGTGGCGCCTACCTGGGTTCAATTCCCAGCATCCCATATGGTCCCCTGAGCACTGCCAGGAGTAATTCTGAGTGCATGAGCCAGGCGTAACCCCTGTGCATCGCCAGGTGTGACCCAAAAAGCAAAAATAAAAGAAAAGAAAAGAAGAAGCAATAAAGATTGCCTGGCTGGACATCAGGCAAAGGCCAAAGAAAAGATGGGGATGAGTATTGAGTAGAAGCAGAGCCCCGGGAGTGACCGTCTGTGACGGCAGAGTAGCCCAGTATTGGCGAATGAGGGTCCTCAGGGAACTAAGGGTGAGGGACTAGAAGGAGCCTCTCTTGGGGCTGACAGGGAGGGGGGCCGATGGCAGAGAGGAGCGATGGGCAGAGACGGCAGAAACAGTGACCAGGGACCCCATCTGGGTGACCGCACAGCCACAATGGCAGACCTGTCACACACACCCCCACCCCAACCAAAAGGACAGTCTGGCTCCTGGTCCCCGGGCCTCAGGGGAGAGACACGCAGAGCTTCCTTTGTCCTGGCTCCCCATGGAGCCCTGCGCTGGGGCTGAGTGGGACCCTGGGGCCGGGAGGGGGTGGGTGGGCTTCACCGAGGGTGGGAGCGCCGGCTGGGAGGCGAGGTGTGGGCACTGCTGCTATTTCTAACCCGCTGCGGGAACGGAGCCCTGCTACTGCAAAGGAGGCTGATTGTCAGGGGCGGAACTGAACGCGGAGCTGTCAGCGCTGGCTCCGGAGAAGCTCCTGGCAGGGGGCGGCAACAGGGGGCTTGGGCTGACAGGGCTGTGATTTTTGAAAGAAACGTCTTTAAGAAAGTGATTTGAAGTAGGAGAGAAATATTATTATTAGATAATGGCTGTCAGGTTAGTCTTTGATGTGTTCTCTGGGGATTTCATAACTGCTGTGTCCCTACATGGTAAGGCCTTCCTGGCCAGGAGCCCGGCCCGTGCCAGGCCCATGTGGGACTTGCCTCACGGCAGAGCACCACAGGGACGGGCCTGCCGCCTGGTCTATGATCACTTTGGTGGGAGGGTTTCCCAATAATGGTCCACTTGCCTTGTTAATCAGCCACAGGCCAGCAGCGTGGGTGTCTAGACCAAAGGCCAGCCTACTCCGCATGGAGCTGAGCCTCTGCCCCCGCCAGAGGGACTCTGGGTTGGGGGAAGGGGGGAGTGTCACCAGGAGCCTGTCATCCTCCATGCTGAGGGCTGCAGTCCCTCTGTCCTGCTCTCCGTGCTCTGACACTCCTCTCAGACCACTGGTTTTTCATAACCACGTCTCTTATCCGAGCCTGCCCCACCTCCAGCCTGAGCGGGAATCCTCTGACTCTTGGCCACAGTTGCAGGAATTTGTTTCTTGCTTCTGGGCTGAGGCTAGGGCTTGTTATCCCTACCCTGCAACTCTAAGTCTCTCCATGGGTCACTCTCCCCATGCCCCCTCTCAGCTGAGCTTCCAGCCCTGGGGACTTCAGGTGACTAGGGGTGTAGCCATTCTTGGCTGAGCCCTCTCCACCCCGAGCCCCAGCCTTTGATCACCTGCTTCTGTTTGCTTGGTTTGGGTGCAAGGATCGAGCCCAGGGTCTCCAACCGGTGCATACCCCCCATTCCCTGTGCCTTCTTGTCTCTTCATCCCATCTTTTCTGGCCCCATGAGTGACCCCGGGGATTGAAGTTCATATCTCCCCTCTTCCCTGCCTGTTTAGGAAGCTGGAGCTGCCCAGCGGGGCTGTCGAAGCCGCCTTGGAAGGAAGCTTTGAGCTGCAGGGATACGCGTTTGAGGCCGCAGAAGAGCAACTGAGGCGCCCTCGAACTGTGCGCGTGGGACTCATCCAGAACAAAATCCCCCTTCCCGCCGATGCCCCGGTGGCAAAGCAGGTGTGCAGTCTCTTTTGACAGCAGATAACATAAACAGGCCGCAGCCACTCTGCATTTTGGACGCGTCCATCCGCAGAGCTTGGCTGGCCGTTCACCAGGTCCACAGGGGGCGCCAGCAGCTCTGTAGATGCCTGTGTCCAGACATCCCTGCCCCTCTAGCCTGGCTCTTTCTCTCTGTCTTTCTCTGCCTTCCTCTCACTTCCCCTGGTTCTTTGCACCTTCTCCTCCTCCCCGGCCATCGATCCCTTGTTCCAGTTATCAGTTGGGAGGGTGCCATTCTGGCTGGCTCACTCTCTCCACGGACCTCTGCCTCTCAGTCTCTTGCCAGATGTCCACGTGCCAGCCCGCACCGGGCAGGAACCAGCCCTCACCTCATCCCTGCGTCCCTTGGTTCACGGGGCAGAGAGGCAAGGCAAGTTGCCCGTGGTTGTCAGCCGATGGTGTCTGCGGGGCAGTGGAAATCTGATGGGCCCAACTCCTGCCCTGACCTCTCTGACTGTGATGGTCTCATGTGTCTCCCTAAGACAGGCATTCCCGTCCCCCCCCCCCCCCACACACACACACAGGCGCTCTGCTGATACCCTCCTTTGCGTGTTCCTCCAGCTGCTCAGACCTGCAGGGCTTCCTCTGCAGAGGTTTCCTTGGGATTCTCGTGAGACGGAGGTTTTTGTTTTGTTTTGTTTTGCTTTTGGGGGCATACCCGCGATGCTCAATGGTTACTCCTGGCTCTGCACTCAGGAACTACTCCTGAGACCATATGGGATGCTGGGAGTCGAACCCAAGTCAGCCAAGTGCAAAGCAAACGCCCTACCCGCTGTGCTATCACTCCAGACCCTGATTTTTTTTTTTAAAGGAGCCCTGAGACCCCTGTGGTCAAGGAAGTGTGGTTGGCTTTCAGACCCAAAGTCCCTTCTGGGCTTTTGTGGAAGCAAAAGAGTCCTGGGGACTGGAGAAACCACTTAATGGAATGAGCTCATGCTTTGTAGGCAAGGGGCCCAGGGTCAGTCCCTAGGAACCTCATGGTCTCCTGAGGTGGGTGTCCCCACCCCCCACCCTGCCCCACAAAAAAAAAAAAGAAAGATTTCTTAGTACCTTTTTGTCTCTGAATAAGCTGTCTGTGAACCTTCCCTTTCCCCAGCTCATTTTGTCGGGTCATCAAGGCCAGGGCTGTGCTTCTCGACCCCTGGTACCTAGAAACACACCTTGGCCCAGATTGCGCCCATCATCTGCAGAGCCCTGAGGACACAGCAGCATAAGAGTGTGTGCCCGGACCCCCCTCTTTGGAGCCGGAGAGGTAGTGCAAGGGGTAAAGCTCTTGCTTTGGACATGAGTGACCCAGGTTTGATCTTGGGTACCGCATATGGTCATCTGAGCACTGCCAGGAGAAACCCCCAAGCACAGAGCCGGGAGTCAACCCTAAGTACCTCCAAGTGTGGCTCAAACTCCCAACCCCCCAAGTAAAAAGAGTTTGTGCTCCAGGTTTTCAGCCTCGTGCCTCCAGTCTCTCTTTGCATGAGGACAGTTGGCTCCTGCCGCTGAGCACTTCACGGGGTCACGGAGTGACAGAGTGATGACGGTGGAGGAACGGAAGGGCGTGCGGGGAGGCTGAGGTGCACTGAGGTCCCTCCGCACCGGCCTGGAGCATGGCCTGTCTGTGGGCCATACGTGACATGGACAACATACCTCAACGTACCTAGGGGGTGGGGTGGGGAGCACAATCCTACAAAGACCCCATTGGGGAAGGGACAAAGCATCACCCAGTGATCTCAGCCCCTCCAAAAACTAGCACTGACAGGACCAGTTTCTCTCAGAGCCCGAAGAGCAAGACAGCAGGAAGTGGACAGTGTCCCAGGGCAAAGGGGCAGTGGGCAGCCCGAGTCTGTGTAATTCCTGCCTCACATAGTCCATGTGCAGGCGCCGAGCATTCTCCCCCTTCTCCAGGGGAGAGCGCGGGGTCTGTGAGGCAGCACAGGGGAGGGGATGCAGGGGGCCCCCCCACCCTTTGTGTCATATTTCAGGCCTTATGCGAATGCAAAGTCGCAGAGCCAGGGAGACTGACACAAAGGTGGAGGCACTTGGCCAGCACGTGCCTGCAGCCACCCCTCTGCTCACTCCGTAGCACCATGCATGGTCCCAGAGCACGGCTAGGTGTGGCCCTCGAATACTGCTGGGTGTGTCCCTCCCAAAATAAAGAAAGAACAGAAAGTGCCAGAACTTCCCCTCCTTCAGGGCGGGAGGGGATGTACAGCGGGGAGGGTGCTTGCTTTGCATGCGGCTAACCATGCTTCCATCCCCAACATCCCGTATGGTCCCCTGAGCACTGCTAGGAGGAATTTCTGAGCTCAGAGCCAGGAGGAACCCCTGAGCATCGCTGAGTGTGACCCAAACACATGAAAGAAAAAGAACCAGCACTCTCTCCATATTGGTCCTCTTGCAGCTGGTGGGGTGGGGACTGGCATTCCTCATGTGTCCAAGTGAGTTCTCACTGTGGTCTCCACCCTTGCTTTTTCAATTACCAGGTTGCTGCCCTTCACAAACGTATCGAGGCCATGGTTGAGGTGGCTGCAATGTGTGGTGTCAACATCATCTGCTTCCAGGAGGCATGGAGTAAGTCTCTTTAGGGCTGCTTTCTCTGCGCCCTTCAGCTTCAAGTGCATGACCACCAGGAACGCCTGCTGCAGTGATGTCTACAACCTTCCTGCCCGGGGCCGGAGTGATAGTGCAGCGCGGAGGGCGTTTGCCTAGCGCACGGCCCATCCATGCTCAGTGTCCGGCATCCCATTTGGTTCTGTGAGCGTTACCAGGAGTAATTCCTGGGTGCAGAGATAGGAGTGACCCCTGAGCATTGCTGGGTGTGCCACCCAGTTTTCTTTGGAAATCTCCTTCCTTTCTGTATTCACAGAGAGGCTCTTTGTCAACACCATCAGAAACCCAGGAACCTCACCCTCCCTCCTTTTCCTGTAGGCCCAAATCAGCTGCCTGTTCCTCTCACTTCTCCCTCCCACATCATGCTGAGACAATTCTTTCCTTCCTCCCACTTCTTACGCTTCATTGCTCGACAGCACCCTGAGCTCTCTGTGGCTTCTGCCCTCCACTCTGAGACATCTTCCTGGCATGCATTCTGGCACTGCTCGGTCTTTCCACCTCTGTGGTCTCATCTCAGTGAGACTGCTGGCCTCCAAGAAACCCGCTCAAGCTAGACGTTTCAGCCTGCCTCACTAGCTAAAATTACATTCTTGTTAAAGTTACATTCTTGTTATATATTTTAATGTACCACATTGAACCTGGGTAGGCCGCATATAAGGCAAGTACCCAATCTATCTCTCTGGACCCAGTATCATTTCTATTTTTATCAAAATTATATGTGCTCATGATTTGGAGTTTACAAGAGTACTAAACTGAGTCTACAGGAGACCAGAAAGATTGTTAAAGGGTTGAGGCACTTAAACTGCATATGGTAGACCTCCGCTTCATCCCCAGCACTGCAATTTTCCCTGGGTACTACCAGGAGTGATCCCAGAGCACAGAGCCAAGAGTAGCCCTTCTACACCACCAGGTGTGGCTCAACCTCTCCTACCCTCAAAAAAAAAACACAACTCAAAAAACTAATGAGCCTATAGGATCTATGTTCTATTCCTAAATGGTTCTTTGGAAATTGACCTTTCTTTACACACTGATTCCTGGTTTTTCCATTTTGCATCATCTACTAAGGAGGAAGACAGGACTCATCCTTTCCCTTCTCCCTCCCCGATACACAGATACCCTTCCTCGTCCATTTCCCAGCCATTCTCTTTCTGCCAAACCATTTTGTAAACCTTAAGAGTTGGGGTTGGGTGTTTTTAATTATTTGTTTTTCTGAATAATAAACCTGGAGCTTGTTTTGTTTTTTATATGATTATCACAAATCTGCCAGTTTCTTAGATTCCCCTTAACGAGGTTGCAGTCCAGGAAGTAGTCTGTTGGTTGTCGCTCCACAAAAGGAACGTGTCAGAGCCTTCTGACTGCTCAGGTCCGAATCTGACCCTTTTGCTGCCTCTAGCTTTTACCCTGGGATGCTCTCCATGGGGCATTGTTCTTGTGTTCTTTCATCCCACATCTTCTCTTTAGCTTTACTACCTCAGTTTGGTTGATGAGTTCCCTAAGAAAGAACACCAAGGACATCAGCTTTGAGACCTTGCCTAACTAAAACTAGGTTCTGCCTAGAACTTGTTTGATACTTCGGTTGGGTATAGAATTCTCTAAAAACAATTTTGCTTCTGAAGCTTGAATCGTTCCACTGTCTTCTGGCACCACTGACTAGTATAAAGATACTTTGATCTATTACCCAAACATGACCTGTCTGTTTTTCTCTTGAAAGTTGTAGAATCTTTTTTTTTCCCTAAAACTTTGGCATTTCATAAATGTCAAATACACAATTCTGTGTATCTATTTTAATGCACTGTTCCTGGGCATTCAGTGGATACATTCAGTCTAGAAATTTGGGTTCTTTAGATTAAATCCGTTTTCTTGTATTATTTCTTACTCATTTTCTCCTCGTGGTATTGGGTTCAAACCCAAGACCTCACATATGCAAGGCAAGTGCTCTACCATTGAACCATATTCCCAGACCCTTTATATTATTCCTTAGTGATTCTTCCCTTTTTTCTCTCCTTCCTTCCTGACATACCTACCATTCAAATTCTGGAGTCCTGAGCCAGATCATCAATTTTCCTACTTCCATTTTTTTTTCAATTTTCAGATTTTACTTCATCATTCAACCAGTTAATCAGTTTTTCTTCGGTTGCGGGAAACTATACCCATTTGTAGTTTAGACAGGAGTAAGTAGTGATGCTCAGGGCTTACTCCTGGTTCTGCACTCAGGAATCCCTCCTGGTGGTGTTCAGGGGAATTGAACCTAGGTCACTCACATATAAGGCAAGTTCCCACTGTACTATCTTTCAGCCCATAATCAATTTTAGTTTGTACTATTTTGAATTTAGAAGAATTCTCTTGGTGTGAAAACTACTGCTTTATCGTATCCTACTCTTAATCTTGTAACTTCCAGATCTTCTCTATCTCTGAGAACATCGAGTAGTATTTTTTTTGATCCCTGCATGTCCCTGTAGTTCTAATTTTATCTCCACCACCCCTACTCCCACCCCTCCCCCTGATTGGTTATATTAAGAATCGAGGGGACCGAAAAGCTGACTGTAAGCTCTGGCTTCGTGGGAGGGGCTCCTCCCTGAACTCGGTGATAAGTGACCTGCTGTAGCTATTTATTGGGCAATCCCCTTGGTGGTGGCTTTGGGTTACTCTTTTCAGACTGGTCTGATTCCCCAGAGGAGATTCATCTCCTGCCAAGAAGAGAAAGTGGACAGGGGTCCAGCATGCTGATGCTTAGATAATTCCTCTGTTTCTGACACTCTGCTGACCTTCATCTGTCCTGGTCTCCCCGAGGCCGGAACCCTTTGTTTAATTGTCTCTGGAGAAAGAGCCTCTGAACTGTTGGAGCTGGAGGGCTACATCCAGGCCTCTTACAAGGACGGAGATTGTGTGCTTCTAACTGCTTCTTCAACAGGCTTTCAACCTGCCTTTCTCATTTGTTCCCTCCCCCACCCCCACCTGCTTCCCCAACTCCACAGCAATGTGCTGTCGCTGGCACCTGAGCTCTCGGGGGTCTGTGGTTGAGAGAGGGGTGCTTCCTCACCTCCACTTTGGGTTCCTCTTAGAGATCTATGCATCCATCCGCTCACCAAAACTTCAACACTCTGGTTTTCTCGCCCTGCTCACAGTGCTCCAGCCTTGTGTTTTACACCTTTGCAGAAAAGTGTTTACCATCAAACTGTGGGGTTTCATGTAAGAGCAAAGATGTGTCCACTCTGCCGGGCCCAGAAATTCATCTCATGTTCCATTCCTTCTTATGCGTGGACTTTTTGGGTGACACTGAGATGCATCTGCCTCTTCTACTGTACCTTGAGGCCCAAGAGACTGGTGATTGGGTTTTGTTTGTTCTCCCCATTCTAATCCCCTCCTACATTTTTACACTAAAATTTTTCATTGAGAAACCAGGGAGATGGCTCAGCTCAAAAGGTTGAGCCCCTGGCATGCAGAGGCCCTGGATTCAACTCCCATCAACACTTGGTTCCAGTAGTACTGAGTCAAAGATGGCCAGGAGTGGCTCCAGTACCCCTGATACTGCTTGGGAGTCCCAAAATAAATGAATAAAATCATTTAATTGTGGTAAAATATGCATAATGCAATAGTTATCACTTTAACCATTGCTAAGTTTCCAATTCAGCAATATTTAAGTACATTTAGAGTTTTCTAATCATCTATCAACACCCAAAACTGTTTCTTCATTCCCATTGGAAACTCTGTAGTCAGTTACAACTGACCCTTCTCTCTCGCCCCTGATAACTTCTGCTCTGCAATCTCTCCCTGAATTCACCTATTCTAGTTCCACACGAAAGAGGGATCATGTATGATGCTTGTTTTTCTTTTCTTTCTTTCTTTCTTTCTTTCTTTCTTTCTTTCTTTCTTTCTTCCTGCCATTCTTTCTACTGAATCACAGTGAGATACACAGTTATAAAGTTGATCATGATTGAGTTTCAGTCATATCATATTCCAACACCCATCCTTTCATCAGTGTACATTTCTCACAACCAATGCCCCAGTTTCCCGCTGCCTGCCTCTATGGCAGGCACTTTTCTTCTCTGTGTGTGTGTGCGTGTGCGTGCATGTGTGTGTGTGTGTGTGTGTGTGTGTGTGTGTGTGTTTCTCTTTCTCTCTCTCTCTCACTCACTTTCCCTCTTTCACTCTTATTCTCTCTCTCTCTCTCTCTCTCCCCCCTCTTTTGGGCATTAATGGTTTGCAATACAGATGCTGAAATGTTATCAGGTATATCTTTACCTACTTTCAACACTTAATTCCTGTACAAAATGATCATTTCCAACTGTTATTGTCGTACTGGTCCCTTCTTTATCCTAACTGCCCTTCTTCACCTTCATCCCCACCTCAGATACTCTTGTGTCAAACTTCCAACCACTGACCAGCCCCCCTTGGCCTGTTTTCCTTGGCCTAGGACACATACTAAATATTTTTTTCCTTACATCTCATAAATGAGTGCAGTCATTCTATATTCATCTCTCTCCTTCTGACTCATTTTACTCATTTGTATAGATGGTACTTGTTTTTCTGTGTCCAGCTGCTTTCACTCATCATAACACTTCCAAAACCTGTCCACATGGTTCCCATCCCTATCTCTCACACACAACAGACTGTCACAGGACATTGCATTTATTCATTTCCCCCATTCCTCTGTTATCTTTCGTGGCCTCAGCAGAAGGTTCCAGGCCTGTTTGGGCTACTGCAACGTTTTCCAGAAGAAAAAATAAATACTTAGCACTTCCCCCCTAGAAATCTACCTTCTTTGTGGTGAATAAAGTGTCCCTCAGTTGCACCTGAAGCTTCTACTGATCCTATTGTTCTTGTCCCCCACGGGGTGCAGTATCACCCATTCTGGAAAACACTCAAATAGTTCATGACAGACATTGAAGTAAAAATTGTAGTAGATGGTTAGCCTGTTCTGACCTTTTGTTGGATCTGGAAAACCATCCTTCCGGGCCCAACACAGATAGTTCTCCTTTGGGAAGGCACAAGGCCCTTCCTGCAGAGAGGGAAATTCTCTGCCCCACCACATCAGGTCATAATTTAGCTCCTGAATTATAGTGTTGTCCCCCCCCGCCCACACACACACACACATTCCCACCCACAACTACCCTGAACCTTCCCTTCCAGACTGGCCTGAGTGTGAGTCCCGAGTCTAGACTCCTGTGGGCTCTTGAATGTGGGAACCCCCTTCCCCACTCACTTAAAAACTGATGCTGGGACTTTACAGCCATCCTCCCTGGACCTTTCCACATCCTTCTTTTGAACATCAGAGCGGTTGTGTAAACAGGAAAAGAAGTCATTAAAATGGAAATGGAGAAATTTGGAGAGCTTAGCAACCTGAAATGAAATCTGAAAGGGAAGTTTTTTATCCTCTGGGGGCATTTGAGTCTCCTAATGCTCTGAAAGCCGAGAATGAATGGTCATTAGGGGACATTTTTGTTATCAACAGTTTTTTGGTTTTTTGGTTGTTGTTGACATCCCTAAAATAGCTCATCACTCTTCACTGAAGGAGAATCTGGGGAGTCTTCAGCCAGAGTCCCTCAGGGCTACTGCTGGCAGGGCTCCTGCTCTCAGCCGCCTCTGGCCACCGCCCTGGACAGCTGCTGGGGGGATGGTGCTATCAGTGGTCTCTTCATGCTGGGGCTGTCTTAGGGCCTGACTCCCCCAAACTGGAAGCAGTGGGGTATCTGGGTTTCGTCCTTCTCTGAAAGAGTCTCACCCCTGCTTTGTCCGGGAATTGGGAACAAGCTGCCCCCAAACAGGCCACACACCCCGTGTCTCAACCAGCTAAAGCACCACCAGTCACATCCCACAGCATAAGTAAAGCTTCCCCTTCCATAGTCAGTTCCCAGCTGACTGATGGGCCAAGAGGAGCTTCCGGAAACTTCTCTCAGGATCCTGGCTCTGAAAGAAATGGACTTGGATTCTTCATTTTTTTCATTTACCCCTGTCTGTTTCTATGAACAGTAGGTAAAACCATTATGTTTTGGTTTTATTTATCATAAAATATACTTCACAGCATTTTTTTTTGGTATTTTGATTCATCTCTTTTTTTGACCTTGTCTATGTGGTTCACTGTAGGCCTAGTTTATTTCTCTGCTGACTTTTATAATACGTCAGTAATTAATTGCCCTCTGTCCTGTACATCCTTGCATATTTTAGAGCAGGGGAGATTTAAGCAGGGAGGTCTAAGAAAGGATTCCAATACTGCAATTCAAGAGAGGGGAAAAAAAAAGACAAACAACAGTCCAGTCGGAAGTGGCCAAAGGGGGCAAAGCAGATCTCCTGGAGACCAGCAAACTAGCACCCATAAACAAGGTGCTCACTGCACCCCATAGTGTCCCCTGAGCCTGAATGTAGAGCCAGGAAGAAGCCCTGAGCACTGCCAAGTCTAGCCCAAAAGCCAAAACTAAAAAAGAAATAAATTGCACATAATATAGAAGTTGCCATTTTAATCATTTAAAAAATTCCTTTTTCCCTTCCCTTGGTCGATATTGCCCTGACCAGGCATCACACACTTGCATTCTGGCCCTGTCTGCTACCTTCCTGGTCCCAGCACTTTCATTTTCCCTTTCCAAATTGAAACTCTATACCCATTAAATAAAAAATTCACATTAACCCGCCTCTCAGTAACTACCCTTCCTCTTTCTGTCTTCAGGAAGTTGCCTTTTCTAGGTCCTTTGGGAAATGGGATCAGACAGCATCTGTCCTTTTGTGACTGTATTATTTCACTTAGTATAATGACCTTAAGGCTCACCTGTGCTACAGCATGTATCAGAATTTACCTTCGTTCAAGGGTTGGTTAATATTGCATCGTATGTCTAAATCACATTAGTTTATCCACTTATCCGCCCATCAACATTTGGGTTACTGCCATCTCTCTGCTATTCTAAATAATGCTGCTTTGAACAGGGTGTGTGAATATTTGTTCAAGTCCCTGATGTTACAGTTTTTATAGGAATGGGAGCAGAGAGTGGATACAGGGATTGCGACTCTTGTCTTGCACATGGCTGATCCCAGTTCGATCCCTGGCATCACATATAGTTCCCTTCACACCACCAGGGGACTATATGTGACAATTCCTGGGCAAAGAGCCAGGAGTGAGCCCTGTGTACCACTAGCAGAGCATCTCCCCCCCCCCCGCCCCCACTTCACCACCACCAAATAGAGTATAGGAAAGACACTGGTCCAGTCCCTCATTTTACCATGAAACTTAAAAGCATAAGGTCTGCCTAGCATCCCTGGTCAGACACAATGTGGAAGCCAGTCAAGGACACCTAGGACCAGGATCTGAGCAAAGACTCTATCGCAAGGCAAAAGAGCCCCCATATTAGGCTTTTTCTATTTTTTTTTACTTTTTTTTAATTGAATCACTGTGAGATAGACCCTTACAAAGCTGTTCATGATTAGACTTCAGTCATACAATATTCCAACACCCATTCCTCCACCAGTGTACATTTCCTAGCACCAGTGACCCCAGGTTCCCTCCCATCACCCCCAGCCCCCATCCCCTGCCTGCCTCTATAGCAGACACTTTTCTTCTCTCTCTCTCTCTCTCTCTCTCTCTCTCTCTTTCCCTCCCTCCCTTCCTCCCTTCTTTGAGTGCTGGAAATGATCCTGATCTTTCTCCTCTTCCCAGCCATGCCCTTTGCTTTCTGTACAAGAGAGAAGCTGCCTTGGACAGAATTTGCCGAGTCAGCAGAGGATGGGCCCACCACCAGATTCTGCCAGAAGGTAGGTCATTTACTGCTCCTCTGGCAGCAGCAACTAAACATGGACAGGTCACAGTGTGCGACCGCAGCTGTCCAGCATGGCCCTTCATCATGGAAAAATGCACTCGTTTGATGCTTGTTTTGCCAGATAAGAATAGATAAGACTATTTGCTCCCTCTTTTTAGTGGACTTGCACTGAAAACCAGAGTTTTCAGAGCCAGAAAGGCCTTCCATGGCTTTTTCAGGCAAGGTGGGCGATGGCTCAGGAGAGGTGGGGGGACCCTGGGCTTGACTTCAATCAAGAGTCTCCAGTCGGAGCATCCATCCCTCCCAGGAAGCAGGCAGGAGGCCCCATCGTGGTCCAGAGGCCCGCCAACTCCACTTACTGTTTGCTTGAATGATTCTTCTTGGCAAGATCACTCTCTCCCATGAAGGAATTGGCTTCCATTCTTCTCTATTAAGACGTCATAATACATTTTGCATGACCCCATTTACATGAAATGTCTAGAATGTGAATGCACCAAGACAGAAAACAGATTAGCTGTTGCCAGGGGCTGGAGGGGTAGGAGTAGTGGAGGGAGACGGCCTGGTTACTAACAGGTACGGGGTTCCATTTGGGGTGTTGAAAATGTTCTAAAATTAGATTGTGGTGATGGTTGCACAACTCAGTGAAGCACTGAAAAACCACTGAATGGCAACACTCGAAAATGGGGTTTGTACGTAGAATGAGCATCAGGCCACGTGAGCTCCAGCTTAATAAGACATCAGTAAGACCCACATGGGTGGGGGACTTTGGGACAGTGGTGGAGGGGAGCAGACCCTCCGGGGGAGGGAGGGTATGGTCTGGAACATTGTACTCGAGAAACCCTACCATTCACAGCATTGTAAATCATGGGTGCCCAAGATTAAAAAACAACAACAACAATTCTTAAAAACAAGACTTGTACTTAGTTCTATACTAAGTCCCCCACACACACATCCCCAGGCTGGGGAGATTTCCTTCTCTTTGACTTCTAACAAACTTCATTCATTCTAAGATGAATGAATGAATAAATAAAGCCCATAATATTCAACAGGATTACAAATGGTAGCATTCCTTACATCTCTCACAAAAGAAATTCCTTTCCTTTCTCCATATTTCATTTATTTATTTATTTATTGCTTTTTTGGGTCACACCTGGCGATACACAGTAACTCCTGGTTCTGCACACAGGAGTTACTCCTGGCAGTGCTCAGGGGACCATATGGGATGCTGGGAATCGAACCTGGGTCGGCCGCATGCAAGGCAAACGCCCTACCCACTGTGCTATCTCTCTAGTCCCTATTTATTTTATTTTTAATGTCTTTTTTTTTTTTTTGGAGGGAGGGGGTTGTGTCACAGCCTTGTGGTGCTCAGGGCTTACTCCCGCCTCTGCTCTCAGGAATCACTCCTGGCAGGACTGGAGGATCATACCGGATGCCGGGAGTCGGCTGCATGCAAGGCAAGTGCCTTTCCTGCTGCACTGTCTCTCCCGACGCCCACCCACCCCCTGCCCCTCCCTGCCATGTTCTATTTTAGACTCAACGGCTATTTAGGGGTTTTCTTTTTTTTTTTTGTTTTTGCTTTTGTTTTGTTTTTGCTTTGGGGCCACAACCGGCAGTACTCAGAGATTACTCTTCGCTCTGTGCTTAGGGATCATTCCTGGTGGGACTCAGGAAACCAAATTGGGTGCTAGGGATTGAATTTGGTTTCACTCTGTGTAAAACAAGCACCCTACTTACTGGACTGTCAGTCTGGCCTCTATTGAGGGTTTCCCTGGGAAAAACTGTAATCATGGTGATTATGTCCATCCTGAACCATGATTCTAAGCATTTGTGCTCTCAGGTTATAGGGGAGTAAATTCCTCATCCACTGGATTATTTATTCTGTGCAATGGAAAACCGAGAGGAAGGGAGCTGGTTAGGAGGTGATTGCAATGACATACCCAAGAAAGGGCCAGAAGAGAAATCACAGGGTAAGAATAAAACTCATGGCAGGGGCCAGATGGTACATCAGGAAGGGTTCTTGCCTTGCACACAGCCAACCCCGGTTTGATCTCCAGCATCCCATATCAACCCGAAGTACTGAGTGCAGAGCCAGGAATAACTCCTGATCATCATACATAAAAATTAAAGCAATAAACACTGGTGGCAGGAGGCCCCTGTCTGCATCAGGAGGAACTCTGGGAGCCCCTCCCCCCTCACAGTGTTTAGAGTGCTGCCAGCCACCTCACTGGGGCTTTTCTTTATTTTGTCATGAGGGTCAGAAGTACTGATGGGCTAGTCAGAGCCGAGGACAACTAACCGGCTAGGATTGTTCATCCTTTTGGTCATCAGGTCCTTGTGAGACGCAAGGAATTTGGTCTTGAAGAGCTTTAAAGGGGAGTGTAAGGGGATACAGGTGAGAAGGAGGTGGTGTTGGTGGTGGTGTCAGTGTCGAGGTGGGTAAGAGAAGCATGTAACAAAACTCTGAAAGTATACAGCGTTAAGTGCATCCACACTGCTGTGAAACGGATCCCCAGAGCGTTTTCGTCGAGTCAAACTGAAACTCCCTACGCATTTGCCAACCCTGCTCTGGCCCCAGCTACTGGAAACCCAAGTTCCACTTTCTGTTTCTGTGAATCTGACTATTTAAGATACCCTCTCCTAAGTCAACTCACAATATTTGTCCTTTCATGACTGGCTTGTGAACCTAGTGTCCTTTGAGGGTCCTCCCTGTCCAGGACCATATCCAGCCCATTGGATTTCCTTCTTCTTAAGGCTGGATAATATTCCACTGGATGGATAGGCGTAATTCCCTTTCTCCGTGCTTCCCGTCATGGTTTGGGGGGTTGCATTGTCTTCTGGGGCAAATAGCACTGCTATGAATGTGGGTGTGCAGATATCTCTTCTCGAGCCCCTTTTTCCGTTCCAGCACACGGACCCTGAAGTGGGACTAGTCGATCCTACCAAGTTGCGTTTCAGTCTTTTATAAATCACCACACTGCCATACATAGCAGCTGCACGGTTTTACATTTGCAACAACCATCTACAAGCATGATGATTATTCTTACATAGCTAAGTTTGGACATCAGCACGGCACTGGCATTTAGCCTGCCCAAAAGAGTAGCTGAAGTATTTATTGAGATTGTTGAATTCGTCAATTAAAAAAAACTATGACAGGAGCCGCAGAGAGAGAGTGGGGGGGGGGGGGGCGGGGTAAGGTGTGCTTGTTGCTTGCTTTGCATAAACTGATTACAGCTCAGGCCCTGGGACCATGGATAGTCTTGAGTACCATCAGGGTTCACCATCAGAATGCAGAACCAGGAATGTAGCCCCTGAGCACTGCTGGGCATGGCACCCAAATCCAGAGTAATAAAATCTGGTATAGCAGAGCCTTAAATGTACCTCAGTGTGATCATGTATGTTTAAGATCCTGGATTCAATCCCCAGCACCAAAAACTGAAAAATAAATTTGGGGAAACCGGAGAGATAGTACAGGGGGCAGGGTGCTTGCCTTGGACACAGCTGACCTGGGTTCGATCCTTGGCACTCCATGTGGTCCCCTGAGCTTGCCAAGAGTGATCCCTGAGTGCAGAGCCAGGAGTAACCCGTGATCTGGGTGTAGCCCCAGACACCCCCCAAGAAATAAATAAATATTTTTTAATTAAAAAAGGGGGGGCAAGAATGGCCGAGATTAGTACCAGGAATTTTGCTCCATGGCTTAGAGGCCAACCACACATGCTAGGGGAAAAGGGAGCTCAGATAGAGAAGGGAACACCAAATAAAGGTGTTGGGAGGATCCTCCCAGGATGGGAGAAGCATGCTGAAAGTAGACTATAGACCGAACATGATTGTCACCCATTGCCTCTTTTGCAAACCACAACAAGAGAGAGAGAACAAAAGGGGATGCCCTGCCACAGAGGCAGGGTGGGATGGGGGGGATGGGGGTGGGAGGGATACTGGGATCCGTGGTGGTGGGAAATGGGCACTGGTGGAGGGATGGGTATTTGATCATTGTATAATTGAAACCCAAGCACAAAAATTTGTAAGTCTACAACTGTACCTCATGATGTCTCACTAATAAAAATTTTTAAAATAATAATAATAAAAGGGGGGGCTGGAGTGATAGCACAGCGGGGAGGGCATTTGCCTTGCTCGCGGCTGACCTGAGTTCGATTCCCAGCATCCCAAATGGTCCCCCAAGCGCAGCCAGGATTAATTCCTGAATACAAAGCCAGAAACAACCCCTGAGCATCTCCAGGTGTGACCCAAAAAGAAAAAAAAAAGGAGCATGGCAGTTTATTCAAAGGTAGGACACTACTTTCCTCATCTTTTCCAGCTGGCCAAGAAGCATAACATGGTGGTGGTGTCCCCCATTCTGGAACGAGACAGCGAGCACGGGGATGTTCTGTGGAATACAGCCGTGGTGATCTCCAACTCGGGAGCAGTGCTCGGGAAGACCAGGAAAAACCACATCCCCCGTGTGGGCGATTTCAACGAGGTGAGCTGCCCCTTGAGTGAGCCACCCCGCTTACCCACCTCGATCTCTCCAGCCTCTCTGCAGAGGAAGCACCACGACCATAACCAACTGGTGCGACACTAGACCCAGTGCCCAAGGGACTCCAGACCTTGCCCTGTGTCTCAGAGCAGGGAGCCCTCAGCTGGTTCTCCCAAGTGATGCCCCAGCACCTTAGCATGAAGGAGGCTTGGTTTTGATTGGGGGTTGGGGGTGAGTAGAAGAGTTGCCTCTTTAGGTTTTCTGGATGTTATTTTGGGGGAGTGGAGGTGGATGTTGGGGCCATACCAGGCAGTGTTCTAGGGTTACTCCTGGCAGTGCCGGGGAACCATATGGAATGCCAGGGATCGAATGTAGGTTGGCTGTGTACAAGGAAAGCAATCTACCCACTGTACTATTGCTCAGGGCCCTGATTTGTGGTGTTGTGTGTGTGTGTGTGTGTGTGTGTGTGTGTGTGTGGCATATTCTGACTTAGTCTCTTGAAATCCATCTTTAAAGTAAGTCATACACAAGCTGAAAATAAAATCAAGAGTGCGTACACATGAGCTGATTCTTGCACTACATCAGGCTCTGAGCTCTCCGTGGGATGGGGCCCTTCCCTATAGCTCAGGGGTGGTATCTGACCAGCCAGATCTTCCTGTTGGTTGGCCCAATGTGCCTGTTGGTACACCATGTGCTACCTACGGCACAAGGATTTGGGCATCATAGCGCTTTCTGCCCCAACTGGACATGTCAAGGTTGCTCTTCTGATGGTTTAGTGCCAATTATAGGAAGATGAACTGGATGGAGTGGACCCATAGAAGAAGGACACGAACTCCATCTAATACCTAAGATTTAAAAAATCTCAGCCCAGGGGGCTGGAGTGATAGTACAATGGGTAGGACATTTACTTCACACGCGGCCGACCCGGATTCAATTCCCAGCATTCCATATGATCCCCGGAGGACAGCCAGGAGTAAATTCTGAGTGCATGAGCCAGGGTAACCCCTGTGCATTGCCAGGTGTGGCCCAAAAAGCAAAAAATAACTCAACCCATAATAAATACAGTAGTTTTGGAGGTGCTGGTCCCTGGCCTTCACCTCGTTGCCCATTTGCTGTAGGTCCAGCCATTCTCACACTGGCCAAGCGGACAAGAAAAGGATCTTCAGATCAGAGCCGCTCAGTCTCCTGGGAAAAAAGCAGCAGCCAGTGTTTCTCAGTAACAGCTGGAGGTGGGGGCGGAGAGGGAAGCTCTCACCTGTTTACCCTGGGATTAATCGTTAGCTCCCCACCGGCAGGGCAGGGCTATCTCTGTGCCCCAGGGTCTGTCCCCGAGTCCACCCCACTGTACACACTCCCTGCTCGCCACCTGCCCTGAGGGTTCTCAGATTCTTGAGAGGAGGCGAAATGCTCAGGGGCAGAGGTCTGCGGGACCCCGACCTGGCCTCTAGCTCCCCTCACTACCGTCCTTAAAAATGTCTCGGGAGGGGCTGGAGCCATAGTACGGCAGGTAAGACATTTGCCTTGCACACGGCTGACCGGGTTTGATCTCTGGCACCCAATACGGTCCCCTGAGCAAGCCAGGAGTGATTCCTGAGCACAGAGCCAGGAGTAAGCTCTTAAGAACAGCCAGCTATGGTATTCCCCAGCCTCCCATAAAAAATTGTCCCAGGAGCAGAGAGTAGGTGCAAAGACTGAGATGGTAGAACTGTGTCTTACCAGCCTGCCCAAGAGGGACAGCCAAAGCCCCGGATGATGCCCGAGGAGCCTCATGGAGAAGAGCCTGAGTGAAAGGCACGGGGTCTGGTCCCAGGCGGGCCCGCAGCAGCTGGGTTCCATGTGCAGTGGACATCCGCATCGCCTCCCCTGGGATGGGCTGGGCTTGCTCTGGATTTGCTCCTGGTCCCGTCAGCTCTGACATGGCTTATACTGGGACGTGGTGAGGACAGTGACCAAATCTTGTTACCATCAACCAAACCTCAGCCTTTCCTTGTCCTATGATTGAAACTGCACTAAAGTTCATCCTTGAAATACCAGTGGGAGTTGCTTGGGGATTTTCTTTTCCCCCCCTGACATATCGGAAAAGAAATTATGAGTAAATGCTTAGGCCATGGTGATTTCCCAGTTTCGTCTTTTGCTTGGCTTATTAGCACATCTATTTTTTTGTTTGTTTTGCTTTTTTTTTAGGTCACACCCAGTGAGATAGCTCATGGACATGCAAAGCAAGCCTCTTGTTCTATGGTAGGCTGGAGGGCTGTAACCCACCAGCTGCTTAGTATTGTACTAGGTATACAAACACACCACACTTTCATAATTCTTTTTTAGGTTTCTTTTTCCTTTTTGGGTCACACCCGGCGATGCACAGGGGTTACTCCTGCCTCTGTACTCAGGAATTACCCCCGGCAGTGCTCAGGGGACCATATGGGATGCTGGGAATCGAACCGGGGTCGGCCACGTGCAAGGCAAACGCCCTACCCACTGTGTTATCGCTTCAGTCGAGTTTTGCTTTATGTTGTGGTTCTTAAGTGTACTGACGGCTCTGAGTCGTATCTAAGAGTGTGCCTTGGAGTCCTGAGAGTATTTCATGATCCTGCCATGTCTCTGGAAGGGGAAGTCAGACAGCTCTGAGACTTCAGGACACGACTGTGTTTTTCAGTCCACCTACTACATGGAAGGAACCCTGGGCCACCCCGTGTTCCAGACCCAGTTCGGGAGGATCGCAGTGAACATTTGCTACGGGCGACACCATCCCCTCAACTGGCTCCTGTACAGCATCAACGGGGCTGAGATCATTTTCAACCCTTCGGCCACCATCGGAGCACTCAGGTCACTCAGCAGGCAGGACAGGGGAGGGCTCTGGGGCAAGCCACTGGGGCAAGTCAGGCGACAGCACGCCACCCTCTCCACCAGAAGGTCCAGTGTTTAACACACCTGGGTCCTGCGTCAGGTGTCTTGTCACTAGGCAAACATTCTCCCTCCTCTCCTCGAAGAGCTGTTCCCCACCCCCACTCCCATCTGCCAGGATTCAGGAAAGTCCCAGTTCTATCACTTTTTTTGCTTGTTTTTGGGCCACACCCAGAAGTGCTCAGGGATCACTCCTGGTGGGGCTCAGGGGGGACTATATGGAATGCCTAGGAACCAGCCCAGGTCAACCGCATGTAAGGCAAATGCCCTGTCCACTGTACTATCTCTCTGGCCCCTGAGACTTATTCTTAATCAATGAAGCTGGTATTTTTTTTTTCAATCACACCTCACATGGCTTTAGGCATTAGAGAAGCCCATCAAAGTGTTCTGAGCAAGGTAGTGAGGTACCCGGCAGCCCCCACACTCAAGGGCAGGACCCCACCTTGCTTAAATGTTGGTTAGCAGAGAGCCCGGCAGCCCCGCATGGGCCCAGTGCCATTCTCTGGGGGGGATCGCCCATGGCCGAATCTCTGGGTGGTTTCCAGTTTTGCATCCTCCCAGGAGTCAGAGCTCTGAGAATTTGTGCGCAAAACCTCCCCACCAGCTTCCTTCCTTCAAAGCCTCATTCCTGAGTCAGGGCTCCGACTTTTACGACTTTTACAACTTTTACTCTTTGCATCTGGCTTGGTGGCCGCTGTCCAGCAGGCTGAGCTGGAGTGAGCCGCTAGCCTGTCATGCTTGTCTGTAGTAAAAATTCCTCCTAACTTTCCTCCGCTTTCCCCCAAATGTGATGCAAGCCCGGGCTTTCCCTTTCCTTCTGGGCACCGTATCCCTTTCTCAAGAGCAGCAAACAGCCAGCCAGCTCAGCCGCCCATCCTCACACCTGAAGGTCTTGTCTGTATCCAGGAGTGACACTCTGGAACAGGAGTGCGGGGGCGGGGCGGTGGGGGGGAAGAAGGGGGATGTCATGTCTGGGTCACATGACAGTGAAATCCCTCTGGCAGGTCCTTTGGGGACATAGGTGTGTGGTTGCCCATCCCGCCCTCCCCACCCCCTCCAGCAGATGGAGTTCATCCAGGCCTCTCCCAGGAGCTGCCTCTCCCTCCTGCCGGCCTCCCTGGGTGAGGCATTTCAGCCAGTGTCCCCTCCCTTCAAGGGGTCCCAGAAGCAGCTGTCCCCCTCCCCCTCCGGCTCTTGGGTCAGCGCAAGCCAAGCCACAGCCCAGATTCAAAGAACCGCCTTCCTGACCCCACTTCCTCCGGCTTTTATTAGACCCAATTAAGCAAACAGAAGCACCCTGATGTAATATGCACACAACTGCTTATGTCCTCAGCAGCCTATTAGGCTTATTAAAAATTATTGATTTTCCTTCCTCGGCTAGCAGTCATCCTACTCCGGCTTTTCGGTGGCGTGGCAAGGCTGACAGAAAAGAATTGCTGATCTTTTGGAAAGCCAGCGTGTTTCAGGAGTCCCTAAAAAGTTCACAGCCTTTGACCAGATCGTTATATTCCTAGAACTTGAGCCTGAGAAAGGAATTTAAAAGTTTTTTTTTTTAAAGGGGGGTAGGGGGAGAACAGGTTGTCCCTATGAAGATATTCCTGTCAGTGTTATTTATAAAAGAGAAAAACTTATAATCATGAGAAATGTCAGGGTTATGGATAGTTCAACCCATCTCTTCCGCAGAGTGTCACTAAAAAGAGATTTTACAGAGGAGATTAAGCCATATCATTGTAAGCCTTTCAGATGTTTTTTCAGTTTTGGGTTTTTGTTTTGTTTTGTTTTGTTTTTTTGCTAAGGGTGGTCATGGAATATAGAAAATTAACAACTGACAGACGGTTTCTTAGGTTGGCGGGTTCCTGGGTATAGCCTTAAAAAGATCAATGATGATTATTTGTGTAATTGGTAGTGACTTGAAGCATAATGCTGCGTGTAGGGAGAGAGCTGGAGAGCTAGTACAGTAGGTGCTGTAAGTGGGTGCTAGTACGATGGGAGTTAGTAAGATGCTACCTTGAATGCAGCTAACCCAGAGTCAATCCTCAGCACCACATACAGTCCCCTGAGCCCTGCCAGGAGTGATCCCTGAGTGCAGATCCAGGAGAAAGCCTTGAGCACAGCCCGGTCTGATCACCAAACAAAACGAAACAGGGTCAGAGCGATAGTGCAGCCAGTAGGGCATTTGTCTTGCACGTGGCCAACCAGGGTTAATCCCCAGCATCCTATATATGGTTCCCCCTAAGTGAGACCCCTGAGTAAGCCCTGAGCACCGCAGGGTGTGATCCAAAAGGAAGGAAGGAAGGAAGGAAGGAAGGAAGGAAGGAAGGAAGGAAGGAAGGAAGATGCTGAGTACATTCTTACTAGCTGCACACAAGCACTGGATCCCAGCTTCCAGAACCTTCCATCCCCTTTGTTCTCTGTCATCCACCCATCTCAGGGCTTCCCCCGACTACACACACACTTTGTGGGGTGTCTCAGTGGCATCACCCAGTTTGCACTCTTAGTTGAAAGCACTCAGTGGGTTGCATGTGCTTCTCCCTGAACCAGGCCCTCTGACAGTTTGTGCCGTGTGAGCGGCCAGAGATTCCTGCCCGTGTGTCTGCATCCTGTCTTCCCACTGTGATAGTTTCGGGGGGGGGGGGGGTGGAGTTGTGTATGCTGCACTGGGAGCATGGCAGCGGTCCCCACGTCACCAGGGGGTCTCAGTGGCTCCCACAATGCTCCGGGCTCTCACGAACCTCTGGCTTCCTTTTCCGGGCTTGTTTGGAGAGCCCAAGTTTTATTGCCAGCTGTGGGCTTGAGGCCTACGCAATGCAGCCTCCCCAGAGAATTGCAAGAAAAATGTTTGATGGCGCTCGCCCTGTGACTGTCTATTGAATTCCTGAAAATGTCATTAATGGGCGTGTTCCTCTCAAAATCCTTTCTTAAAAGTTTTGTCAGCTTGCCTTAGCAGCTGGGGTTGGGGGGGGAGGGGGCGAGGGGAGCAGCAAAATGAGTCCCCTCAATCAAGCCTGTGATTTTTTTTTCCAGACTCGTGAATCCTCCTGAGAGTTAGACTTGTGACAAGCAGCCACCCCCTCCACCTACTCCCTGGTTGAAACCAGGTGCATTCTGACAGGAAGGAAGATTCCGGGACATTCTGCTCCCAGTCCCTTAGTGTTTCTAAGTGGGCATTATGCCTGTCAATCCAGAGCCTCGGTGATGTTGTTCCTCAGAGGAGACAGAACTAGTGACGAGGCCCCCTGAATTCACGGCCCAGTTTAGCTGGTAGGCTGGAGAAGGACAGGGCCTCCACGTCCTGCAAAGGGGTCCACCCCTAGGTCCTCCCCTTCGTGGGGACTAGGAAAGATTTACTAAGCCCGCAGGTGACCCCCAAATCCACCAGCAGGGCACCTCAGCCCCTGGCTCTAGCCCGTAGCATGGCTGTGCCTATGAGCCCTCCTCCCCGGGGTCAGGGAACCTCTCCGGGGGACAGAGAGGTTCTGGGTAGGGCACTTGCCTTGCACATGTCCAACCTGGGCTTGATCCCTGGCACCCCATTTGGTCCCCTGACCTCTGTTGGGAGTGACCTCTGAGTGCAGTGCCAGGAGTCACCTCAGAGCATCACCAGGTGTGGTTCAAAAACAAACACAAATATAAGCAGAGCACCTCTTGGGGCTCAGTGGAGGATAATGGGATGATCCTAAGAAACGGGGACTACTGAGCAGTGTCAGGAGCGATTCCTGAGTGCAGAGCAGGAGTGACCCCAGAGCATTGCTGGGTGTGACCCAAACACCGGAAGGGAGGGACGAAGGAAGGAAGGAAGGAAGGAAGGAAGGAAGGAAGGAAGGAAGGAAGGAAGGAAGGAAGGAAGGAAGGAAGGAAGGAGAAAGAAAAGAGAGAAAGAAAGAAAGAGAGAAAGAAAGAAAGAAAGAAAGAAAGAAAGAAAGAAAGAAAGAAGAGAGAGAGAAGAGAGAGAAGTAGGCCAACCCCAGGCAGGTAATTCCTGCCTCTGAATCTACTCCCCCACCTTTTCTGGCCTCTGTGCTCTGTGTCCTGTGAAATCTCCCTGTAAGGAGGCAGCTTTGCAAATCTGCCCAGCAGGAGGCAGATGACGGACTATGACAGACGCAAAGCTCCCCCCCCCCCCCCCCCGCCATGGGGTCCCAACTACCAACTGCTAGCGCCAAGTGAGGCTTTGCTCATCCTCGAAGGTGGACGCTCACCCCATCAGACAGAGGCGAGGCAGTGAAAATAGAGCCTGGAGTCCCCACATTCCATGTGCCGTCCCACCCTGAAACTCTGAAGGTGGGCCTTGTCAGAGAGGGAAACTGAGTCTCAAGCAAGACTCTGGTCCCGTAAGGCTACTCCTGCCCACAGCAGGCACCACCCCCCAAAAGACTGCCTCGGTGTGAGCCTGGGAGAGGCTGAGGCTTTGCAGCGCCCACAGGCACTGTGGGAAAAAAGTCTCCCTGGAGGACGGTGGCCATGCTCAGCATCCACCAAGTCTGACCACAGCCTGCTTCCCCTCCTTCCTCTCCCGCAGCGAGTCCCTGTGGCCCATTGAGGCGAGAAACGCGGCGATTGCCAATCACTGCTTCACCTGCGCCATCAACCGCGTGGGGGAGGTAAGCACCTGGGGTCTGTTCCAGCCCTTGGGGGGGGGGGCACCGGGAGGGACCGGGTGCTTCAAAGGAAATTAGCTGCCTCGAGTCCAGCTGGGCCCTTGGAACAGCAGAGGCGGGGGGGGCGGGGGGGGGTTGGGGCTGAGTGCCTGCTGGGAACTCTCACACTCTTCTCGCTGCCCCTGCTCCTGCTCCAAGCCTGCCACCAGCCCAGCGCCCTAGAAGGGGGGAATCAGCCTGCAGCCTCCATGCCTGGTCCTTCTGTCTCTCTCTGGGTTGGTTTTTAGCAGAAACCCTTGGGAATGACTCTCACACTATCACCACTGGAATCCTGTTTCTTCTTCTTTTTTTTCTTCCTCGTCCTCCTCCTCCTCCTCCCTCTCCTTTCTGCTGGCCCCATGCCCTACCAATTCTGCAAACACAGTCTCTTCATTATGCAGTAATCCTCTTCCTCGTTCTTTTTTTTTTTTGGCTTTTTGGGCCACACCCGGAGATGCACAGGGGTTACTCTCCCAGCTCTGCACTCAGGAATCATTCCTGGGGCACCATATGGGATGCTGGGAATTGAACCCGGGTCAGCCGCGTGCAAGGCAAAATGCCCTCCCCACTGTGCTATCACTCCAGCCCCTTCCTCGTTCTTCTTAACAAGATGTCAGACCCTAACAAGAGCATCTCATCAGTTGGTTCTAAGCGATGGTCTGCCCCGGGGGTTTTCATTGGTTCATGTAACTCCCTCATGGGTGATACAAGCTTGGGGAAGGTCTATTTTGGGGGGGGCTTTTTTGGGGGGATCACACCTGGCGATGTACGGGGGTTATTCAGGAATTACTCCTGGTGGTGCTCAGGGAACCATATGGGATGCTGAGAATCAAACCCGGGTTGGCTATGTGCAAGGCAAACGCCCTACCCGCTGTGCTATTGCTCCAGCCCCTTGGGGTAGGTCTTGAAAGCAGCACATGACCCTGTGTGACACCATCTGACCCTCTGACCCTGGCTGCGGTGTTGTCTCTCCTTCCACAGCCCAAGAACCAGATTTTTATTCACCCGGCAGGCCATAAACTCCCCAAGGGCAATGTCTGGGTCCTTCCTTGCCGAGTTCCCCGAGGGCCACCTGCATTTGCTTATTGGGCGAGGGCCACCTGCATTTGCTTATTGGGGCACTCAGAATGGGACCTTTAATAAGAACTTGTTGGCGGTTCCTGTCCAACTATGTTTGGACTTCACCTGGGTGTAGAGCGGCGCGGTGCTGCCACCTATGGGCTAAGGCTGGTTTTTCTCTCCCAGGAGCACTTCCCGAATGAGTTCACCTCGGGAGATGGGAAGAAAGGTATGTTCCCGAAAGCATCCTGCTGTACTGGGCGGGGGGGTGGGGGGGACACGAGGGTCCTTCTCCTTGGGGGTTAGCTTTGGGGTTGGCCCCCCTCGGCCGTACTGCCTGCTGTGGGAACCTGGCCCTGGACAGGCTGTGGACTGGTAATCGCGGGCTGGCAACCCTCGGGCTCCCTCATGGGGACGGAACTGGGCTGTACTGATCTCCGCCTGTCCCAGAGAAGGGCGTGAAGGTGGGCCAGGAAGACTCGGGGCGCTTTGTGAGTCCCAGAGAGGGGACGCTGCACCCACCCGCACGCCACCCTCCTCTCCTTTGTGCCTGTTCACCACCCCGTCCCGAGATTAGCCTGCCCAGTGTTGGGTGCCTGGAATCCGCGGCTGGTTTTCCTCCTCTGGCCGGGACAGGAGGACCCTGGTCCCCCTTTGGCCAGGAACATGGCCGACCTCTCCTCAGAGGGGTGGCCAGACTAGCTTGGGGCACTGTTGAGGTGGGTTCCCCAGAAGAGTGCCTGTGGAGTGAGTTCCAGGCTTCCAGAATCACCCCCACATACCCCACCTTAGTTTCTCAGAAGAGTACCCACAAGGTGTAGACATGCTTCTGGCCACTCCCTGTGTCCCGGCTCCAGTCCGGCCCTGGGAGGTGCCCCCTCCATGCCTACAGGGTGTGGGGTAGCCCCACTTTCCTGGAAAGCCCAGGAGAGCTGGTGACAATCAAGCCCCCAAGTCACAGTGAGAAGGACCTGAGAGGCAGGTCTCTCGGGAAGCCCTGTGACCCACCAATGTGGGCACAAACGACCATCGCCTTGACACGGGTGACCTTTAAAGATGTTTCCAGACCAGGCCCGAAGAGATAATACAAGGGATAAAACAACGGCCTCACATGAGGCTCACCCGGGGGTTGATCCCCAAACACTGTAAAGAATGACCCATGTGAGGGGCAAAGCAATAGTACAGCAGGTAGGGAGTTTGCATTGCATGTGGCTGACCCAGGTTCGATCCCCAGCATCCCATGTGGTCTCCCCGGCACCGCCAGGAGTAATTCCCGAGTGCAGAGCCCGGAGTAATGCTGAGCATCACTGGGTATGACCCACAAAGCAAAAAAAAAAAAAAAAAAAAGAGTGACCCATGGAAGTCGCCCCTAAGCACTGCCTGGTGTGGCTCAATCAGCGAGGGCCGTGAGGGTGACAGGCAGCAGCTTATGGGTCTTCCAGTCCCAGGGACACGGGTCCTGGGCACTTTGGCTAGGCATTGCGGAGACAAGGGGGGGCGGTCACATAGGCCATTTGTCCTGCGTGTCCCTCCTTATGCCTGGTCCTTGCAGTGTCCACATAGCTCAAGGCTCGTCTCTGCTTCTCCAAAGCTCACCAGGACTTTGGCTACTTTTACGGCTCGAGCTACGTAGCCGGCCCTGACAGCAGCCGCACCCCCGGGCTGCCCCGTAACCGTGACGGGCTGCTGGTCGCCGAGCTCAACCTCAACCTCTGCCGGCAGATGAGTGACATCTGGAACTTCAAGGTGGGTGCCGGCAGCCCCCTTGTTGCCCGGCTCCTCCGGGCCTGGGAGGTGCCACAGCTGGACTTGCCGGCCTGGTTCCCGTGGGGAGGCTCCAGCAGGGCAGGGACCGGGGCCACCTCCCTCAGATCCCAGCCTGCCCGGCGTTTCCGGGCAGAGCCGCACGGCGAAGGCTACCCAGGCAGCAAGCCTCAATCAATTCTCCTCTCATCTGATTTAGGTGCCTTCTCACAAATTAATCTCAATTTCATTTGTCTAGAGAATAGAGTAGATTGGCTTCTCTAATCCTTTTTGCCTTTCCAGGCATTTGCACTTATCACAAGATGAATGTGCGCGTCTGGCCAGGCCCCGTGGTCTCGGCCTTGGTGAGGGAGGGAAATGAGTCACGCTGAGGAATAGACTCTAGGCCCGTCCTGTCTGTGTCCCGACGGGACTTGGCCACTGCCAACAAGCTCCCCTCCCCTGCGCCTTATTGATACAACGAGGGGCTTGACTCGAAGGCCCCGGGCAGCCTTCTCAACCGAACACCAGTGACCGGGCTAGGGGGGTCTGCAGAGGAGCATATGTGTCCACCAACACAGGGTGGGGCAGCGGCACCCATGACTGGGGTGCCCCAGACACAGCAGCTCATCGTGCGGAAAGACAAGTCTGCTATCTTAGCACCTGGTGATATTTCCACCAACTCAGCACCGGTTATGAACTAATCAGATGTGACTTGTGTCGTCCTAACTGAATGACCCCATCTGACCTTAGAGCCAGAACAGAGAAGCGTTACAGGCCCAGCCCTACCTTTACTAGGGATTCTGGGGCTGTTCCCTACATTTCAGATCCTTGTCAAGGGCCGAGGCATAGGACAGTGGGTAGGGCACTTGCCTTATTTTGTCCCTACCCAGGTTCAATTCCCAGCACCACATGTGATCCCCTGAATCCCACCAGGAGTGATCTGAGTACAGAGTCAGAAATAAGCCCTGAACACCACGAGGTGTTGCCCAAAATCAAAAATAAAACAAAGATCCTGGGATTCTGGAGATAATACACTGAGTCAAACACTTGACAGAGTCAACCCAGATTTGGTCCCCGGCATCCCATATGGACCCTGGACCACCTCCAGGAGTGATCCCTGACTGAAGAGCTAGAAGTAACCCCTCAGCATTGCCAGCTGTGACCCCCAAAACAAGATAAGCAAAAAATAATAATCCATAGGCAAATCACTAACAGGAAAGTCCCTAAGGCCTCCTGGTCCTCTTCCTCTTCCTGGGCCACTCAGATTCATGCAGGTGCCACCCAGTGTAGAATCTGGAAGCAACAGTGTTTTCTCATGAAGGACATTTTAAAAACAGACGTTTGGGGTCAGAGCAATCATAGACTGGGTAAGGTTCTTGCCTTGCAGGCTGCCAACCTGGGTTCAATCCCCCAGCATCCCATATGGTCCCCTGAGCACTACCAGGAGTAATTCCTGAGTGCAGAGCCAGGAGTAAGCCCTGAGCAACAGGTCACTGTCACTGTCCTCCTCCCGTTGTTCATCTATTTGCTCGAGCGGGCCCAGTAACATCTCCATTGGAGATTTTGTTGTTACTGTGTTTGGCATATCGAGTATGTCACGGGGAGCTTGCCAGGCTCTGCCGTGCGGGCAAGATACTCTCGGTAGCTTGCCCGGCTCTCCGAGAGGGGCGGAGGAATCGAACTCGGGTCGGCCATGTTGGCTGCGTGTAAGGCAAACGCCTACCGCTGTGCTATCGCTCCAGCCCAACAGGTATGACCCAAAAAACAAAGCTTGGAACTGGAGCAATAGTACAGCGGGTAGGGTGCTGGCCTTGTACGGAGCCGACCTGGGTTTGATTGCCAGCCCCCCATATGGTTCCTTGTGCTCCACTAGGAGTAAACCCTGAGCACTGACAGATGTGCCCCCACCACCCCCCACTCCCCCAAAAAAGGAAGTGTACCCAAGCTGGACTTGGAGGAATGTGTGAGGTTTGGTCAGGTCTGGGGAAGAGGGAAGGAGAAAATGCCAAGGTGTGAGCTCCCGCGGGCCCTGCAGCCCTGCCCCTCCCTCTCCCAGCCTCCACCTGTCTCCACCGAGGGGGGCCCTATGGGGTGGGTCTCTACGCGCACATCCAGGAGAACAGCGTGTGGAACAACTCCTTTCCTGCTTAGTGACTGGGCCAGGTCGTAGCAGACGCCCTGGACTGCAGGCTGCTCTCCTGGGACAGACCCCTTCCCTCCTGCCTGAGGGCAGAGGCATCTTCTAGGAGAGCTCCCAGGGGTCTTCCAGGTGGAAGTGCCTGGGCTGGGCGTGGTCGTCCATCCCTTCTTCCCCTCCCAGCACCAAACTGACCTGCCTTCCACCTTCCCGCCGCTTTTCTGTCCTCTGCTGCCCCCCAGTGGCGACAGGTGGTGAGGCGGCAGTGCGGGGCGCTGGAGGGAACCTCTAACCTGTGTTTTGCTTTCAGATGACGGGCAGATATGAGATGTACGCCCGGGAGCTTGCGGAAGCTGTCAAACCCAACTACGTCCCCAACATCGTGAAGGAGTAGCGGCAGGCTCCGGCCCACCCCGAGGCCCCTACCTGCAAGTGCAAAGGCTTCACACGCCCTATCCTCCCTCAGGACGCCCTGAGCGCCCCAGGCTGTGCAGACCCCTCTCAGCACCCCCGCAGGAGAGCATTGGACCTCCCTCTGCCCGCCCCCCCCCCATCCCTGGTGTCACAGCTCATCCTAGAGTGACTGATGCAGAGGTTTGGGGGGCAGATAGAGAGGAGAGGGGCACCCAACACAGAATACATTAGCTGCCAGTCATCGGTTTTATGTGGTGAGGATTTTAACTTCTAGTATGGGCTTGGTTGGCATTAGGAGTCTCAGAGTCCCATGCTGAAGCTTCTGACTGCCCAGGCTTGCAGACTCAGCAAGGAGAGGGCGGGGCCGGAGTATGTGGGCATAGGAGGGTGAGGTGGAACCCCAAGCCACTGGCCCCATGGATGACTGGGGGGAATGGGGTGCGGGCAGGGCAGATTTCCACTTACTGGGCCCGTTATCCAATCAGACTAATCCAGGTACAGCTGTGAAGGCATTTTGTAGACGTGATTAAACCCGATTTTGTCCATGTGATTAAACTCCTAACAATTTAACTAACAAATGAGATTATGCCAGCTAATCTGGGGAGGCTGATTCAGTCCAGGGAAAGGTCATAAAAGCAGAGCTGAGGCTTCCCCAATAAACAAGAAATTCTGCACACAGCGGCTTCTGCCATGCGTGAGTCCCTGTTTTCCCTCGCGGCCAGCTAACCTCCCACTTCCCAGCCCATCTCTCCAACTCAGCTCCCCGCAATCAGACTCGCCGGATGTTCTCTCCTGTTCTTGCGTTTTTCCTCAGGCCCTGCTGATTCAGAACCCGGCACAGAATCTTCAGGAGGAGTTTTCTGAAATTCTCTAATTTGGTTTTCTGGTAACTTGGTTGGATTTCTGCCTGTGGCTCTGTTGTCCACGGCAAAGAGTGCGGTGGAAGTGTGTGGTAAGATGTGGCAAGAGAGATTTAGATATGGGGCAGGCCACCAGCCCGTGCCTAGGGGTCCACCTGCCTTTCCTGGAGACCTGTCTCATCTGCGGATCCAAGTTGGGCCTATCTCACCAGCCCTCAGCACCGTGGAAGCCAATTTGGGGCATTAGATCTTTTACACAGCTCTCACTCCTACACACACACACACATACACACACACATAATCACTCTCTAAATGCATATTATGCATGCATATCTATGTCCATGGGCTGGAGCGATAGCACAGTGGGTAGGGCATTTGCCTTGCAAGCGGCCAACATGGATGACCCGAGTTCGATTCCTCTGCTCTTCTCGGAAAGCCCCGCAAGCTACCAAGAGTATCTCGCCCGCACGGCAAAGCCTGGCAAGCTATCCGTGACGTGTTCAATAGGCCAAACACAGTAACAATTGTCACAATGGAGACGTTACTGGGCCCGCTCGAGCAAATCGATTAACAAACGGGAGTACAGTGACAGTGATCTACGTCTATATGATACGTGCAGACAAAGCCCTTGTGTCCTCCTTATCCTTCCCTTATCCAGCCTTTGCTCTCTGCACCTCGGTTTCCGCATTGTAAAGTAGATGGTGTCCTCTGTCCCACGTTATGCCACAGGACAGTGGTGAGAGACACTGCATGAGTCAGGTGGTCCCTTCCTTGGCTTTAGTAAGTATGCCCGTTTTGTCCCTTGTAGCACACAGAGTGCCGCGGCCGAGCCTCGGACCTCCAGTGGAGCAGCGTTGGGGATGGGGAGGATGGGATCCTTGCTGTGCCCTCTCAGAGAAGACAGCCCTGGTAGTCGCTGGTCCCACGGCTGGATGATGTGAACAGCCCCACACAGAGGCCTGGTAGGGCGAGACAGTGCCGTGGAGAGTCCTGGTCATAACCTGGTTTCTCAGCTCACATCTCCGAGCAGGGTAGATGTCCTGTATGGCTTTTGTACAGGACTCACGCGTGCAAGGCTGTAACCCTAGCTGCATCCCCAGCCTGAGTGGCAGCTTTATTTCCACTTCGTGTCTTATTTTTCTGTAGAATCCAGGCCTGCAGACAGGGCAAGCACTGCTGTCAGGCTTATAGATATATAAGATATATATAGATATAATAAATACATATATAGATGTCCAAACACCTTCGTGGCAGTGGTTTCTAAAAAGAGCATGGAGGGGGCCTAAGCAATAGCAGAGGAGGTACAACATTTTCCTTGTATGTGGCCGGCCTGAGTTCATTTCCCATCACCCTATATGGTCCCCTGAGCCTGCCAGGAGTGATCTGAATGCAAGACCAGGAGTAAGCCCTGAGCACCGCCCAGTATGACACAAAACAACAACAACCAAAAAACCCAGCAGAAGTGTAGTCAACCAAATAGCCCAGCTTAAGTCGACATATTTACTAAAAAAAGGTTATAGTGTGCAGGAAATGATGTGGTTTTCCACACCTCTCACTGCCTGGAGCCCAAACCATCAAGTTCACGAGAGATCAGCCAAGTCCTGTTCAAATGGAGAATTTTGAGGGTCTGATTCGTGTCTGAGATGTAGGTGCTCAGCTCAGCAAATGTTCACTGAAAGGAGCTGGGGTGGAAATATTTGTCTGGGGTGGGGACTGGAGGGCAGGGTAGCTGGACTACACTGTGCTGAACAAGAGAAAGGGGTGAAGGCCACACAGCCTTCATAAAATTTAAAAGATTGAAATATAGTAGCCTATCCAGAATCAACACATGAAGTCACATTCTTCTATCCACCCAAAACAAAAAAAGAAAGTTAGGAAAACAGTCCCATTTAGATTAGTATTTTTAAAATGTGAGCTATTCAGGCTGGAGCGACAATACAGAGGGGTAGGGCGTTTGCATTGAACGTGACCAACCCAAGTTCTATTCTCAGCACCCCATTTGGTCCCCCCAGCACCCTCAGGAGGGACCCCTGAGTGCAGAGTCAGAAGTAAGCCCTGAGCAGTGCCAGGTGTGGCAAAAAAGAAAAGAAAAAATAAGTTAAAAAAAAAGATTTTTTAGAAAGGAATTATTGTTTTGTTTTGGGATCACACCCAACAATGCTCAGGGATTACCTCTGGCTCTGCACTCAGGAATTATTCCTGATGGTACTCGGGGGACCATCTGGGATGCGGGGGATTGAACCTGGGTTGACCACATGCAAGGAAGCCACCCCTACCTGCTGCAGCTCCTTTAGTAACGAACTTAACCAAGGAGGTAAAAAAAAAAAACTTGTTCACTGAAAACTACAAAACATTGCTGAAAGAAATTGCTTGGAAGACAATATTGTTAAAACATCAGTAGTGGGCCCGGGAGATGGCTCAAAGGGAAACCATTAGAGTTTGGGCCACGTGCTCTGCATGTAGGAACCCTGGGTGTTATCCCCCCACACCACATCATCCCCAAGGACCAGCAGGTGTGGAATCTTCCCCTCCAAAGATGTCAGGATTACCCTAAGCAGTTTACAAAGTCACTGAATTCCCTTCAAACTTCCAGTCATGATTTTTTGTTTGTTTGTTTGGGTTTTTGTTTGTTTTGTTTTGTTTTGAGGCCATACCTGGAGATGCACTAAGAGGGATGACGAGGAAGGCCTTCTCGGGAAACATTTTATCCAAGAAGTGGTTCCAGCACTTAGCAACAACGGTCCAAGGCAACCAGTTGGAGAGAAGTCCCTCTATAACTGAACTATTGTGTCAAATATTTCATAGATAAATTTTTAAATAAGGAAAAATATGAAGAAAGGAGGGAAATTCACCTTTGTCCTGCAACCCAGTAACGAAACACAATTAACATTTTGGCTTTTTTTTTTTTTGGTAGGGGGCGGCCTTTTTCCTTCTATCTTTTAACACAATTAGGATCATGATGTTTGTAAAATTTTGTGGTGTTCCCAAAACAAAACAATAATTCCTTTCTAAAACAATTTAGGCATTTTCTACTGCAATAAAAATTAGTTTTAGGGCCAGAACAATAGTACAGTGGTTAGGGTGTTTGCCCAGTTGCACGTGGCCAACCTGGGTTTGAACCCCGGCATCCCATGTGTTCCCTCAAGCACCGCCAAGAATGTTTCTTGAGTGCAGAGCCAGGAATAACCCCTGAGCATCGCCAGGTGTGACCCTAAAAAAGCAGGAAAAACAGTAAAAAAAATAAATAAAAATTAGTTTTGGTTTTGGATTTGTTTTTTGGACACACCCAGAGGTGCTCATGGTTTACTCCTGGCTCTGTGCTCAAGGATCACTCCCAATAGGGCTTGGGGGGACAATATCAGGTGTCAGTGATCAAACCTAGATCGGTCGTCTATACCTGGCCTAGTCCCCAAATAATTTTTTTTTCTTTTTGGGTCACACTCGGCGATGCACAGGAGTTACTCCTGGCTCTGCACTCAGGAATTACTCCTGGTGGTGCTCAGGGGACCATATGGGATGCTGGGAATCGAACCCGGGTCAGCTACGTGCAAGGCAAACGCCCTACCCGCTGTGCTATTGCTCCAGCCCCCCAAATAATTATTTTTAAACTTAGTTTTTTCCAGTTGTATGCCTGACATGTTGTTGCCACACAGCTTATTTATTTGTGCCCCTACAATGAAATGCATTGCTATTATAATGATGTTGCTATAGCAGTGGGAAAATTAGAAGCAGAAACAGGAAACTAGAGGCAGAGCCTCTGAGGGACCCATTCTAGGAGCTGGGCAGAGATGAATAGGCCATAAATCATAAAGTTATGGCCAGCACAACAAGGCCAGACCGATCTGGTTGCTTGAGCAGGAATGGAACCAGGACGGCAGAGGCAGTAAGTGAATGTCCATGTGAAACTTAAAACAAATGTATCAATCACTGATTGTACTAAGCATTTTGTATGTCCGCACACAATGGACTGAACCCATGTAAGCTCTGTATCAACTGCGTTTGTGGCGCAACCTGTTTTGGCATTCACCAGATCAAGTCCACGTGCATAGTTCAAGTTGGCTCTCCCTCTCATCTCTCAACTGTTTTTACCTGTTTCTTGGTCAGATTTCTGTAACACTATTTAAAGGCTAAATTAGTCTAATAAATGAAATCTGCTTTGTAAAAAGCACGAACATCATATAAAGAACTGTGAAGAGGGGCTAGAGCGATAGTACAACAGATAGGGCATTTGCCTAGCATGCAGCCAACCCAGGTTCGATCTCAGGCATCCTATATGGTCCCCCAAGCAGTGTCAGGAATAATTTCAGAGTGGAGAGCCAGGAGAGCCAGGAGTAACCCCTGACCATCAACAAATGTGACCTCCACCTTCCCCCCCCCCCCGCAAAAAAAAAAAAGAACTGTGAAGAATGAGTTGTTTGATTTTTGCACAGGATTAAACACAGGACTTCACCTGAGCACAGCCACATCCCCAACTCCTGATATTTAAATCTTATCCACAAGCTGACAAGTTAGTCTACCTCAGCTTCATGCAGGATGGAAGAATCTACACTCTTGGGCCAGAGACAAAGCCAAGTTTATTGATGCAATAGCAGAAACCAGAATACCAGCTTCTTCTTGCAACAGCTCCCTGAGACACAGTTCCCAGAGAGCGATGTGAAGATGGCCACTTGACTGCTGTTCATTCCGTGGGCTGCTCTAAGGATAGAAAGTGGGCATTTAAGTCTTCCCTATTGGACAGTAAGCTTGCCTGCCCCTTGTCCTCAGAGCAGATCCTTAAGTTGCCAGAACACCAGCACTCGCTTTGTCTTCCAAAGCT